AAATTTAACTTTACAGATTTTAAACCATGAAACTTATTTTTAGAAAGAAGATATTTCATACATTTCTCACTCACTCAGCCAAGCTTGTGATGCCAAATACCTACATCAATTTTGTTCCAGCTATATTAATAGATTCAAACATCTCATTTAGCAGGTAAAATGTGTCATCGATATTGTCTCGAGTCATTATTATCATTGCTGCTCTGATCATCTTCCATGAATCACCTGTGAAAATAGTCACATATCTTGACCTTGCAAGCTAACTCACACAAATCAATTTTTTCCTCAAACATAAAATATATCTAACTTAATTGAGCTTCTAGATCAATCAATTTGACAATCTGATATAAATATCACCCTTTCCAACAATACTGCAGGCCTATTTTCTCCTAAATACACATTTCCTAGATTATCTTGAGTGTAGTTTTTGAACACCTCTTTGTTCGGGCAAGTATGAAAAGAGTAACCAAAATATAATATCCAAGATTTGATAATTTCTATAAATAAAATAAGGAAGCCGCCTTGGATTTCATCAGTGAAGACATTCCTAAAGAGTTTTCTATATGAAACTCCACCCCCAAGATTCTTAGAAGTTTTGTAGTTTTTTTCTTAAAATGATATTTCTTCCGGCAATTCCAGCATTTACATCATTCTTTTTCTCTTCCTGACCTGGACATGAATCTTTCCTCCATGTGTTTCAATACAGATTCATTCCTCTGCATTCAACATTCATAGCATAATTTGAAATTTTACCTTCCAATTTCTTGCAAATTTTTTTCAATCAGTGCTAACCCTATAATTTCATCAAAGTTTAACTTCATGTTGCCTGAAGAGTTGCTCATCACAGTGACTAATTCATCCCAACTATCTATCAATGAAGATAAAAGTAATAATGCCCTGAACTTGTCATCGAACTTGATGCCAACATTACACAACTAACTAAACATAGTGTTGAAATTATTCAAGCACTGAACAACTGAACCATCATTCACCATCTTCATATTGAACAATTCTTCATCCTAAAGACTGTATTTTGAGGCTGGAAACTTCTAATACATCATTGTTATTGCAATCATAAGATCAACAATAACTTTTTAATTCACAATGTTGAAAGCCACATATGAGGAAAGTGAAAGTCGGATCAAACCTAGGATTGTTCGATCAAGCACTTCATGTTCTTCTGGTGTTATCGATTATGGTTTCCTGGTGATTTCTTCAAGAGACAAATACAGTTTCTTTTGATAAAATAAATCTTCAATTTACATATTATAAAAAGTAAAGTTTGAACCATTGAATTTCTCAACATTGTACCTCGCATCATCATCCATTGATCCCACTCACAAACATTACTTCTAATTAGGTGAGTACATTAATCCAACCCTATTAATTATTAGCTAATATAACAAAGGGCATTTTACTTCCCATTTTTAGAATTTTATGCGAGAAAATGCCCCTTGGTGATTCTTTTAGGGCAGTCATACAAAAAATTAATAGCATTCTTGGGACAATATCGTAAAATTTGAGGATAAAATTAATATTATTTTATGATTTCCAGAGCTTCTTTATAAGCATTGCTGCAAGCAAGGGGGCATCCTTCATCAACCTGGCAAAGGATTAACACCTGCTTAAGAGATTAAAGATGAGCCTCATTTTGTATGAAAACAAATCCTAAAAATGGAAATGCTTTATGGCTTTGGGTGTTGACATATCTAATAGATGCTATAATTTTAAGGCATCCTATTTGGATGTCATTATTGAATATAATAAAATCTATAAATTTCTCCAACAAAATGACAAAAGCTCATTTCAAAATATTCATCTTAAGATTAAATTGTCATTTTTTTTCAAATACAATCCTACGATAACTCGCATGCTCATGACACATCTTACTTTTTACAACTAATTAATTGAAAAAATAAATTTCTTGTGAATAAGGTGTAATAACCAATTTTTGAGAAAGTTGATAAAATTTTTGGCGACTTAATATATTCCTAAATTTTTGAATCATTCAGATTTCAATCGAAAAAATTTTATAAAATCTACGCATTAAATTGAGCAATTTAATATAAAGCATCATATGTAAAATTTAAATGGTTTGGGAGATATAAAATGTTGAAGTTATATGTTTACTTATTTTAATTAAAACTTGATTAATCCTTAATCCCTCCTTAATCTCCCGCATGTTTTTTGTAGTCCACCAACTTACGCCCCTTTTTAATTCATTCGATCAGTTGATTAGGGCAGGCAAGCTTCGCATTCTTCCCCTCCCTATTTCCTCTCTCGCGATCCCTCTGCCTGTGCGAAGGAATTCGTTTGGCCCCTTGTAGCAAGGCTGCGACGTGCAAGGGGCGAACATATGTGAGTTGCAGGCGAGCCAAGCGGCCCCCTAGGTGCCAAAGCTCGTAATTTGAGGTTCCAGGATGGAATCTAAGAGAAAGAATTCTTCTCTCTCGCCATTCTAAGCATTCATTTCCTTCCTCACTCTTCAGCTCTTCAGCTTTGACTTTTGCCTCATTTTTCATTTCTGGTAACTGTCGGAGGTGTTGATCTTGTGTTGAAAGTCTTGAATGTGAATTGTGAGCTACATAAAATATTCAGGCATGAATTTAGCGAATAAAAGAGGAGTTTGAGAAGATAAAAAGAGAGAAGAAGATTTGGTCGCTTCGTAAAAGAGCTAGTAGTCGAGAAGGTTCTTTAAAGTATGTTTAAGCGATTAAATTACTTTATGAGCCAAGATATCTTTAAATCTTAAGTTAATTGCAGATCCAGGTTATTTGTTTGCGTCGACAAACTCGATGTGAGAGTGTGAATATTCACTGTAAAGAGATCCCGTAAATTCAGGTAAAGTTTCAATTAACTAAAATTATTTAAACCTTAAAGTTTAATATTTTATTTTATAGGTTACTGAGCTCAATATAAAAGTTACCGCAACATTCAACCAGTTTCCGAAGATCAAAAATCTAGTGTGGCAGCTAAGGTGTGCAATTGGATTTCTAAATTTCAGTAATCATCTTTATTTCGGATTGTATGTTTAACTTCATATGTCCTTGTTTTAATCAAACCATTTATATTGATAGGAGAGATATGCATGATAAGGATAATAGAAAAAGATATATGCATGAAAGATGTGCAATGAATGATATTTAGATAAACATTATATGTAAGATAGACATGTCTGATAGGCATGCAGGATAAATATGCATGATATAAATAAGAGATATATATGTGATATATATAAATAAGAGATATACATGAGATAAATATATAAATGATTTAAAAGATGTCTAATGAATATTTGTACGACAGAATAAATATGCATGTTAGAAAAAGCATAAAGATGTCTCAAAATAATATATGTATAAAAAATGAAATGGTTTAAATATGAATGCTTGCATGTGCATGTTCAGATGAGTATTTCACCCACTAATGATACAGACAGAGGAAGTCAGTGTACCCGTGCGTGTAGAATTTTTTTATCATCCAGACAATTATGATAGTTAATTCATTAACCATTGTGTCGACGAGTTAATATCGACCAAGGACGAGTAGAACAGAGCTTACTTCCCATATAATTGTGATGTTTATATTGCTGACTGTTGTGTTGATGGGACAATATCGGCTAGGGCAGGTATAGGTCTTTCCACTCTAAATAATTGCGATGTGTAAATCGCTAACCGTTGTGCCGACGAGAGCTGACAGGGAAATATCGACCACGGGCGTGTTAGATTTGTTAACGGTTATCTTCACATAGACAAATGTGTATAAAAAGTATAAAATAAAGATAAAGTTAAAGTAAATATCTATATATTTAATATGTTCATTTAGAAAAAAATACATTAATGCATGCATTAGCATATATCAGATTGCTTCTAAAAATATAAAAGGCCGACATATAATAAGAATTCTTATAGATTCGCATGTGTAATAAATTTTCCCCAGATTATTGTAGTTTAGATGTGTGATTATTATTGGGTTATCTTTAGATAACTCACTATGTTGTTTTAACATTATTTTTAAATTTTAAACATTTGAACAAGATGAATAGAAGATGAGCAAATATATACAGGAGACGAGAACAAGAAATTGAAAGGTACAAATTTCTACTTATAAATTTTAATTATTTTCTTTAGTGGCACTTTTCATGCGTTATTTAAATACTAAAGAGTTAGTAATAGAATTAGCATATAAGAGATTTGATTTTCACCATCCGACCGTCCGTTCTCGTCTTGGTTAATTCCAAACCCCGAGTTTGGTGACAACATAAGGTAGTCGAAAAAAAGTTTCATAGCCCCTTAACAGGTATCTCTAGCAATGCAATTTTAAGCCAAAAAGCAACAACTTGTGGTAAATAATATCGATAAGGGATAGATAGATGTATGCTTATCATTCTCTTGTGAAGTTTTAATTTAGTTTTAGTCTCACGAAACAAGAGCATACTTTAATTTGATGTAATTTGAAGCAGGAGTCCAACTTTGGAAAGTGGTCATCTTTTGGGCAAGTTTTACTCAAGACCCATAAGTTGATGCGGACACGAATTTGATCAATTTTTTTTTCTTTTTCTTTTTCTTTTTTGGACAATTTGTGTAACATAGTCATAAAATGTCTCCACACGGATGAAACTAATTTAGATGAGTGTTTTTGGTTTTAGCAATCAACAATCTTACTATCATATTAATAAGAGAGAGAACTACGATGCTTCTTTTCCATTAAAGAAAAAAAATTATTGAAGAAGAAAATTTGTAATGGTGTAATAAATGAACTAAAAGCAATACAAGTCCACAACTAAAAAGTACCATATATATTTTGGAAATATAATAAGCATAACAGATTGCTTGCAAAAGATGCATATCATTCAAAGTTAAGGTCATATTTAAATAAATAAGCTTGCAACTTTCAACTAAAATTATTATTAAAAGAAGAAGATTATTACGCAACAAGGTTCAAAACTATTAGAAATAAGCAAACTGGGTGACACGGGAGCTAAGAAATGCTGTACATACAAGGCTTCCTTGAATCAGCTCATAAGTCTGCAAAACAACAGTAAGAAAAAAATGTTAAATTAGTAAACGATAACTAGACAGAAACTATAACAATATATTGAAAATGCTCAACTGATATATGAGATGGAAATATTTATATACACTAGTTCAAGTTTGGATGGAAATGAATCGACAATGGCTACCATCTTGACATAAGATGGGAAATGGGAAGTGCCTTATCCCAGAAAAATGATATATAAAATTTCTAGCCACACTACTTCAATATCATATGTCCCAAAGTTAATCAAAAGTAAAAGTAAAAGAGGCTGGATGTGATAGTGTGTGTGCGTGCACTTGTGTATGTGACAGGCGTGTACACATTGTCGAATAATACAAGTATAAGTACAAAGCATCACATTAATACGAGCATATTAATAACAAATAATTATATACAATTTATGATATCATAATTTATATTACATGCATTACATACAGCAATATATTACATATAAAACATTAATGCTGCCTATAAGGGTACGTGTTGATACATGGATATCTACAAACATTTACATATAGGGAGCTTCAATCCTATTATTTGAAAATTATCATTTTCAAATCATTTTTTTTTTCACCGTTTACATTTTGGATAAAAATGTTATGCTTAAGAATTAAGCAAGCGAATGAAATTTAATATTTTGTGCTCTTTTTCAAATTTAATAGCCATGCCTACGTTGCTTTTCAGAAAAGGAAATTCACTTTGTTTTCAAGAATCACTCTCATAATTAAAAAAAAAAATTTGGCATCATTTTCAGTAAAGACAAGGTATTTTTTAATGAGAAAACGTTTAAATGATCCTTGAACTATTTGTATCGATATTTGATTTATTCTACTAATTTTTCAAATATGATCAAAATAATCCCTCTGGTGGACTATTTAGACTTAATTTGAGAAGTCAAACGACTATTTTGGATTAGGTTTGAGAAAGAACTAAATTGGATAGATAAGATAGTTTGGGACTAAATTATCCATCCATAAATAGTCCAAAGCGTCTATTTTGACATTTTCTCCGATATTTCTAGCAATTTTATTTTTGCTTCTACAACTATATAATCTCTAAACACAATATCACAGCATTAATTTTCATACAGATGTGGATCGAGTTTCATAAATTTTCATGGCAACTTAACCATTCATCATTTTTTTTTAAATACAAGGATGATTGGATGATAGATAGAGGACCCGTGTATTTGATTCCAAACAATTTGAAAGTCTTTACACTTTAGAATCACAATTATCTTCTCATGAAATCAAACTCATCAATAATGAAAATTCAATGCATATGAATGGTGATCAAAAAGCCTCAATTTTAATTATGTTACAGAAAATGAATTGATTTGATCATCATTTAAAGGTTATAACATAAGATTTAATTAGGAGAAGAATCAAAAGCTCCCTCCTAAAAGCAAAGAAGTCCACACAAGAGAGAGATAGATTCTACTCCTTTTGATTTTCCGTTCATATGTTGAAATGAAATTTAAATCATATACTCCATTTAGCATCAAGGCACGCATAATTTTCAAAACTCTAATGGTCAGTTGATCTTTAATATGAAGCACCAAAACTTTCTCTATATATGTTTTATGATTGCAACAGAAGAAAACTGTGAATTTTTATAGTCTTCAAATAGCATGGAATTATATTTGTGTTATTGAGATATTTAGAGGATGAATGATGGTTAGGATTGGTGGAATAATCGCATAATGATTTTTAATGGCGTCATATCTTAGATGAGTGGCAAAATTGTTATGAAAATTTATGAAATATGCCTGCTAAATTCTTTTCATGCCACGGATGAAAATTAATGAGGTGATCTTGAGTTTAAGGAATTTAGGCACAAATATAATAAGGAGAATGAACCTCCTAAGAGAAAATACATCTCATACACGTGTGTCTATACACACACGAGCTAAAAACAAACATATAACATGGGTTTAACAAAAGTAGGGTAACAAGGGACTTCAACTCTCTAAGCAAGCAAACAACAGGAACAAGTTAAGTGCCAAATCATAGCAGATAATTAAATTGTCCTCTTAAGAGTTGCTTTTCCAACTTCCAATCCATAAGTGGAAAATGCCATTTCTCCCACTTATAGGCAACCAAACACATCACAATTGAATCCATCCTCCACAACAATTGCTTTAAGAAAATGACAAGCAATTAGCCAATGATAGTAATAAGTACCAAAACTGCAGATTTATCAGCAACGTTTTGTTGAAAAACTTTGTCATCTACTAAAGACATTTGAATAAAAAAACGTGGAAGAGCTGCAGAACTTATTCTTTTTGAGATAATCCCAAATGTTTGGCCAACATAACGAGCTGCAAGCTAAACAAAAAAACACAAGCAAAAGTGCATCAGCAGCATATCATAAATCAGCCCTAAAAAGTTAAAATTTGCATTCAAGTCATTTGCATAATATTGGTTGATATCTCTTGATTATTTGACACTTATTCAAGGTAAGTATTATCGGTAATTTCCATCTACTTTAGTGAACCCGAAACTATTTACAAGAGCAAACAACAGAACACGATAGCCCTAAAATTGGGTAGTGGTTGAAGAGAATGCCCATTCCTTACATAAACAACTGAGAAATATGTCAAGGAAACAACAATCTACAAGCATTCTGAAGCATTGAAAACACTAAATCCATACTTAAAGTAAATATAACAAAGAATGCTGCCTTTCAGCAAAGGTAAAATTGCAATAAATTAATAAAGCATAACTTCAATGAACATGAAATGGAGAGGAGAGCAACTGCAAAAGTTATGCATCCACAAAGAAACCTGCATGGTTACTCAGAATATCAGCTTCATAATACAAAGCATGCAATTAGCATCATGTACTGGCTGTTCTCGGATCGAAAGTTAAAAAATAAAGTGAAATTGAGCTACAAAATCCATTTAACTGGTTCATTTATTTAGACTTTCTCGGGACTGAGCTTTTGTAATGAAAGTTTTCATAATATTCGTGAGGTTTAAATGCATTATGAGAAATAGCTTAGTCCTCCACTTTATACTTCATTTCAAAAAAAATTTTTGATTCCTTCAAAATTAAATCCTAGCCTTTCAATTTCAAAACTAGATCTCAAGTTTTCATACTTCAATTCTCTATTTTATATATAGTTATAAAATATCAAATATTCTAATATCCATTCTCTTGTGTTAAATTGAACCATGTGCAGAGCACAGCGCTAATGTCAATAGAATTGGCATCTCAATATCATTAATCCGTGTTGAGTATAGATAATAGAAAGAAGATTAATCGTTGATGCAACAATCATATCTTCGTGTCCTCTCGTCTACAAGAGCCACCTTTTGCACAATGTGCAGCGATTAAATTTTTTTATCCCTTGGATTAGCTGTGTGGGATTGATTGGTGTAAAATTTCTTATGTGAACTTGTGAATTTTCTATTATGTGATGTTTTAATCTTTATTGCGAAATTTACTTTTGGTCTGGTCAGTTAAAATGTTAAAACTTGTCGTGAGCTATGAGATTCGGAAGAATTCTTTGTGGCACTATTAGGTTGACCACATTTACTTAGAGATATAGGGACATTGCATCTAGATTAATGCAATTTTTTTATTCTTGGGCTAGACATTGGATTTAGGGAACTAAACCAGGTTTGTTAGCCAAACTTTCTTAGATACCCGGGAGGAGACGAGGAATAGAGTTTCTCACCAACTTATTGTATCACTTTTTCGCACTTGATTTCCTACAAAACCAATTCAGAGGAGAATCTCTCAAACATTTGAAAACCCTCAACTCTTAGAACTTATTAGCTTAGGCTCTTTGAAATTCAAAAATTTAGGATTAGTCACTTTAGAAAATATAACCAAAACTTCATACATTCAAGCCAGGTATAAAACCAATAGACTAAAACATTTTTTACTTTGAGATTTAACTTGTTCCACGTGGGATCGATACACAAAACTCAATTTCGTGCGTTACTTGTATGACATGTATATTTGTGTAATTCATCAGTGCTTCGTCGCATTTGGTTCATAATAATTTTTTAGCATCATTGTTAAGAAGAGGGAGCGAAGTTGAAGTTCAATTTAGAAAAATTTAGTTGAACCATTAGAATCTAAACTTGAAAACTATATTGTTTAACCTTTTTTGCATATTAGTTTGTTATTTCCTGTGTTGCCCAAATCCAAAAAAAAAATCTTGTTGCTTGTTTCTTGTTGTCCTGTGAAATTCATGTACCTGTTTTGATTGCATTGCAATTACCGTAAATAATTCTGTGACTTGCTTGCTTTCCATTTTAGCAAGTTTGTCTGCTAGTTTTCCTGCTTTAAGTTGTTTGTTTGTTTGCATTTGTTTTACTTTGTTAAATTAGAGTCACTTCACTAGATCACTCTAATAGTCTATGTGTAGTACTGTAATCTCGCACATCTTTTCGTGCATGGGTAAGGTGGCCCATATGTACAAATTAATGTTCATGAGTTAGATACTTAAATACATAAGAATCAAGTGGAGTGTATGAAAATCTTCCTTCAGCTTTATGGGTGTTATAAGAGAAGCTAAATTTTAATATAGTAGATGAAATTAATAAATAATACATAATATGAAAGTTAAAAACACATTGATCATAGTCACGTGAGTGTGTGTGGATCGCTGCCCTGGGTAAGTATTTCAAAGTTTTGCCATTGATAGATAAGTTGGCGTCTCTGAATGGGCTAGTTCTTCCAATGCCTGGGACCAATACCTTCGGAGCTGGGTTAGTCCCCCTTGAGCTTGGGCGGGAGCCCTCGGAGTTGGTTAATAACTTTCTACTCTTTGTGAGTACCATCCTCATTGTATTAGTGCTTCCGAGCAAGCGACTAACTTCGAGAGCCACCCTACTAATTCCTGGCGAGTCCGCCCGTTCTCCTCAGCTTCTCTGCTGATTTCATTTTGAAGGAAATATGGAACCTAACTCTAGCAGATCCTTCAACAAATAAATACAGCGAAAATAACAAATAGCAACTCTTAAATTGTTCGTACGAATATTTATCTTTGCTGCCATCTTTCAAACAAACTCTATTAAGGGCGCGTTCTCAATCTCTAAACTATTACAAAGCAAATGAACGAAATGTCAAGATACATTTAAAAAAACGGGATTATAGGGAAGATAGTGTCATAGCCACGTTGCGTGTTCGTAGATCTCAGATCTGTATTGCAACGCAAGATGGAAATGGGATAAGAAATGATCGAGATAACATGCAATGGCATCGAATTCAGCAGTAATAAAATAAAATAATCCAAGAAAACCCCCAACAAAAAGAAAAAAAGGCGTTCTCACCTCACAAGGCCGCAATGATCGATGAAAATTACTCCGTTCAATGGCCGCTACCTTCGAGATCCCCGTTGCCAACCTCGCATTCGGAACCCAGCTCCGGCACTCGCACGGGTTAGACGCCATCCCAAGGCTCGTAAACGCCGCCATTCCGCGACTCCAGGCCACGATTTCGAGCGAGAATGCCGATCGCAGGCCTGGGGGCAGAGAAGCGAAAAAAGACGGAAAGAGTCGAATAGGCGCGGAGTTAGCGAGGCGGTGCGGCCAAGCTCTAGGACTATTTGGCAACTTCATTTAATTCAATTTAATTTAGTGAATACTAGTGTCGAATTTAATAAATTTATAAATAGTTAAGTTTCAATATTTTTTTAATGTAAATTATTTTAAATGGGATTATATTTCATGAAACTATTTGTTAACCTCTTTCAATATTAAAATTTTGATGCTTGTCAGAAGGTATGTGAGTCTTAGTGTTTTGAGATAGCACGTCACACACAGGAAATTAAAAATAAGCAAGAAACCTGAGAACTTTCAATCTTAAAACCCTGAAAAATATGAAAAATTAATGAGATTTAGCACAATTGAAATAACTCACTGGGCAGTTGTGAGTACACGAGTTTACTTTTCTCCATAATCAAAGAATATAAAGTTATATAGTTAAGATACAGTAATAGTTCAATAATAATAGTTATAACAGGTCGTTAAGGTCGTAGTTGATGGCTATGAAGGCAGCAGCCCGCTATAAATTATATAAACAGGTGATTGTAGCTTCAACTTGTCAGAGGGATCTAGTTGAATGACATGATATATGTTGACCAAGTGAACTGCAAATGAATTGCTTCAAGCGAGTCGGTTGGTTGCATAGGCTCTACTGGGAGGCCATGAGAGCTGGGAGGCATGTAGGTCGTAATTTGTCGCATAGATCGTTGTAGTGAGCTACGGTATTGTTGGTACACTACAAAGGCTGAAGTTTAATTTTGTATGAGTTATGGGTTGTGTAGGCTATAGTTGGTCATATATGTCATAAAGTGGAGTCATGATGATATTCGTAAGTTGCAGAGGCGGGAATAAGGAGTTGCAGTGGATGTAAGCTGCGTAAGTTATTGTGATGAGTAGTGATGACGTTCATGGGTTACAGAGGTTCGAGTTTGAAGCTGCACGAGCTAAAGACAACGTAGGTATAAGCCCTAGTGGTGAGTTGTGACGATGCTTGTAAACCACTGTGGTTGGAGTTAGGAGTTGCATGAGTTGTGAGTCACATATGCCGTAATATTGAGTGGTGATGAAATGCGTAGACCGTTATGGTCAAAGTTAGAAGCTATAATGACGTTTGTAGGCAGCAATGGCTGAAGTTGGGAGCTGCATGAACTATGATATTGCATATAGGATGCAGAGGCTACAATTGAGGGTCACATGAAATGTGATGAATCTCGTAAATAGTATAGGTCAGAGTTGGAAATTGCACAAGCGATTAAACCATGTATGTACTAATTGATCACATATGTCATTGTTGTGAGATATGAGGATAAAACTTCATAAATTTAAAGAAGGTTATTGTATTATGAGTATAACAGTTGTAAGTCATTATTGTGGTTCGTGTTGTTGCACTGCATTTGAAGTACATTGTTATGCAGACTTCAAGGTACGTCGCCATGCCACTTTTGACATGTGTCGTTGTAACATATGTGGGTGCATCATTGCACCACATTTGGGGTACCTCATTGCATGGTGTGCTATATGGCGTACTACTCTGTCGGGGTGCCACAATGGTTTAATACATACATTGGGTTTTTGCAATACATGTTGTGGCTCCGCAAAAGGAATTCAACTCATGAGCATGTGGTGGTGTTGACCTCACTTTTGGGTGAGGGATATGGATATTTCCTTTGGTGGCTATGATATAGTCTTAGAACTTTCCTGATGACTAACTTAGCATCTTATAAATGGTACACAACTTGTCCTTAGACATTTCAACCAAATCATTGTTCTCTATGTTGGTTCTAGATGTGATTAATAATCTTTAATGCAAAGATTGGAGATTACATAAAGGAATCCTGACGAGAATTTTGATAGGACCATTGGACCATAGGGAAGTCTTGCATTATTCTACATCTTTTTGGTTTTCAATACATTGCATCATCATAATCATCATAAATATTGCATTTTTGCATCACAATATTGCAATCATTACACTCATAGGGCTGACTAAAATTGTTTGAACACAGTTTCCCCTAAAATACCCCACTCGAATATTCTAATTCTTCAAAATTTCCCAAAACTACAATTGAATCACACAACCCATTTCAAATCATTTGATATTATCATTTATACCATTTGAAACCCAAAAAGTGGAAAAATACCAAATTTTCTAAAAAATTACCAAAATACCCCTGAAACCCCATAATATCAAAATTTTCCAAAATACCTCAGAGTCGCCGATAAGTTCTAAAAATCACACAAAATTATTCCTTATGTCTTCATGAGAATTTTGACTGTAATATGGCCATACTTTCAGATAAGTTTTTGACACATCGACACCAAAATAACGAATACTTAAAAATGCTTCGGGATCATAAGACCTTCCACATTGATCGAAAATGACCTCAGACACTGTCGTTTAATTCTGAATTTCTTCCTGAACCACCTCGAGCCTTTTAATCAATATTTTAATCACTTTGACCGAAATTTGTCAAAATTATCAAAATGGCACTCATGACCCAAAAATTTTAAAATCCTCCCAAATAATTTCAAACACCCCTAAAATCAATTCTTGACCATCCAGTGGGTTCAATTTGACCAAATTCACTCACTTTGATCAAAATCGTCAAATTGAGCTTCATGATCAATCAAATCAATTTCAAATTCAACGTGTCTAGATTCAATTTCAAATGAATCCAAATCAATTTAATCGGCTCATGATCAATTTCCAAAACTATTGATCGCGAACCAAAAATTTGAAGAATTTTAAATTTGACGCATTTTTTATCCGATTGAAAAAAAAATGGTCTGAAAGATCCCGGATGACGCAAAGGAATGTGCTATCGCGTCTAGAACGTCGATTTTATCTAAGAGGAACTTTCATTTCACAGCGAGGACAAATTCGAGTGGAAATGCAGGGAATGATATTAATAATAATAATAATATCAAGCAAGATTATATATATAAAAAAATATAATCCTATCTCTATCCATCAAGCACACTCCTTTTTTTAATTTTTTTTTCTTTTCACATGCTCTTGCTCTCCTCCCTCTCTCTCCCTTAACACACACAGATATATATATATATATATATA